AATACAAAAATTTATAATAACATTGGATGATGGCATTGTTATCAGCTACATAAATTGATTAAAAATTAATATCAGTTGTATCTGATTTTTTAAAACTCTGCTAATGTCCACAAGACCTAGGCTATTTTTGTTTCTATTATTCATTTCTCATGTACTTTATATTATTGTTATTAATGTTGCCTATATTAAGTAATAATATAAAATACTGAAAGAGAGAGAGAGAGAGAGAGAGAGAGAGAGAGAGAGAGAGAGAGAGAGAGATATTTAGGCAACCAGTACGCATTTGGCAACTCTTCTCTATATTTATTAATATATTAATATATTAATCATTAATGTATCATTAAATAATGTGAAAAAAATGTGAAATAAATAGTGAAAAATACTAGTATAAGTTATGATTAAAAAAAATTTAATTTAAAACTAAATAAAATATATTATCGACAAATTGATTAACATAATGATATCACGAAACGATATATTAATGATATTTATCAAAGATAATGTTAATTGTCAGATTCAAAGTAATGTATACCTGTATAGCGATCATAACAGCGAGACCAAAAGCAAAAGAAACTTGTATCATAGACGGTCCAATCCCAGGAATATACGGCTTCATACTACCCATGCATGCTATGCACCCCAGAAAGACCAGAATTGAAGTTCCAATCAATTCTCCCAGGACAGCCATGAACTTGTCCCATGTGCTATCTTCCTCTTCCTCCGTCTTCTTTAGCCCTGAGATATCAACGAAGTTCCGTTATTATCACGTTCATAATTTACTGCATCGATACCAGTGATATTTCTAATTGAATTTATTGATTTTATGAATTTTATTTCTCATGGAAAAGTACGAGCATTCCGTAATCACTTTTGATAAAAGGTAGTACTTGTATCCCTCCCCTCCCCAATCGTAAAAGATTCATTTCTCAAAAAATATTTTTATAAATGATAAATAATGACGGAATAATGAATTCTATTATTTTAATTTCTAAAATATAAATCAGCGAATATTAAATCATAAAGTTTAAATTATTAGAATCGTCAGACTGCATGAATAATTTCGTGAGACAATACGAACTGTCTCATGACGAGAAATAAAACATGATATAATAATTTTGTAATGAATGCACGTCACTTTCGTATCTTTGTGTAAAAGTATGAACTTGTTTAATCTGAGAGACTTTCCATGCTGTACTGTTATTTTCTTCATGCGATGATTTATCAAGAATCTTTAATTATATAAAACTGTTGAAGATGACTTGAATTGAGCCGAAACATTCGGTTATTATATAATACTTATGTAAGATTTGAAACATATTCGATAAACCAGAAGTCTATACCAGTCGAAGCTGGATCTTTAATACTTAAATGCCTCGGTGATCTAAAAGCTTAGGACACTCGTATGGAATACAGAGAGATCTGGGTTCGACTTCCGACCGAAATAATATTTTTCGCAATAATAAAAACGAGTTAAAATGAAAAGGTTATGAGCCAGAAATATAACATACAGAAAAATTGGTACATAAATAAAGATGTCTTATTTAATTATTATAAACTTTAATAAAACATTTGGCTAACAAATGTTTCGATCACGATTATTATCAATGTTTACAAAATTTGTCAGAACGATAAAAATATAACATATATCGATTTTTTCATTGATCATTTTTCTGTACGTTATATTTCTGGCCCGTAGCCCTTCTTTTTTAATTTGTTTTTTTTTTATTAACATTTTTTAATATATTAACATCTTTATGATATGATGTCTGATTGTAGCATCAAATTATTAAAATTGTTTGTTAATTATTAAAATTAATTCACGATTAGAGTAGTTTAATTGCATTTATAGTCCGGAAAAATAATTCGGCGCGCAGTTTGAAAGACTACAATGTGATATATATACAGATACATATATTAAGCATTAAAGATCCAGCTTCGGTATAGGCTTCTAGTTTATCGATTGTGCTCTCAGGTATGGTCTAAAATAAGATTCTTATGTGAAACATATGTTGTTGATAATGTAATCGCACTAACTATTGCGTATTAAAGCTCTTAATTGCCCGTTTTTTCTATTTAATATGAACTTGAGTTCTCATTATCGACTCGATCTCGTAAACATGCACTAGCAACGATGTTTAATTATAGAGCAACTATTATACATACAAGGAGAATCTAACGACGGCATATTTTTATTTCTATACATTACGTAAGCTGAAATCATTGAATGTATAATTGAAAAAGGTCAAGATGTAAAGGTTCGGTCATTGAGTGTAATCGTGTAACGATAATGTTTTTAAAGACAAACAATATAATACAAAGACTATAATACATACGCAGATTCAAATAGCCATCTATGCTTTCTCTTAAATCATTGATATTAGAATGATATATCTTTTCAAGTGTATCAAGTATATCTTTATATATTGTAACATACAAGTATTAAAATGTGATGAGTATATTAAAATGTGAAATTATTCTGTTAATTTTTTATATTTAAAAAGAAAGAAAACTCAACTTTATCTTAATATTATCTTTCTTTTTCACAATTACCGTTAGGTATTAAAAATAATTTTTAGAATTATCTGCAATATACGAAATTAATTCAAAGTTAATTCTTTGTAAGACGATTGAACGATATTGAAGCAAATTGCTTCTTTTGAAATGTTGGTATTCAAAATTTGCAGTTTTTATGTCAAGTTCTCATTTGAGAAAATAGTCAATTGTTCTTTAATGAATTCTAAAAGTATAATAGTTTTCGGCGGAGAAGCGTTTTTGGATCGACAAGCAGGATAACTTGGACTGTCACTTTGTTGTAAACTTTCAAGTGGAAACTTTGTTCGCTCCACGTCGAATGCGATTACTACTGGTATAAACCTGGGGTGGGATGGGTCAACGTTGAATTTACATGAAAGCATTGGTAGAGTTATGCACATCGGAGGTCGATATTCGAGCGTTGTTGAGAACGTTGGACTTCAATAAGTATTCTCCACTGAATGTCGCTCCATTGAGCGTTTCCTGCTCTTTTTTCTTGACAAAATGGCATAGTTTCCTCTGACGTTCATAAAATTCATTCGACATTATTCTCACGGGGGCTAATAGTAAAATTTTCACAAAAAGAGGGGGAAAGTTTTTTGAAATTTTCGCTCGAGAAGTCGAAAGTTGAACTGAATCATAGTTTGCAACAATTAAAGTATGCCCTTTGAACAAGCTTACTATCGCGCTTATCATTTTATTGTATTATTTTGCCATGCAATTATTTCATTTCATATATTTTAATTTAGTTTGAAATATTAAAGTTAAGTTAAATGCGTAATAAAGAAAATGAATAGGTTTCTTTTCCATTTTCCACGTTTTTTTGTTTCTGTCTGTGTGCGCTATATTTTAATATTAATACGAAATACATCAAACACTTATCACGTCTTGCATTAAAATTGTATGTATGTTGAATAATAATCTCGTCAATCGGGTCAATATTTCATCTCTCAGGCGTTTGCAAAGGAGTATTATTAATAGTTAAGTAATCTGCAGTCAGAGGTCAAAACTCATGACATTTCTTCTTGTTATGCAGTCTTGATTTTATAATGATCTATCATGCTAACAAAACATAAAATTGCTCAAAGTATATGTAATATTTTAGATTATTTTACAGAGCCTTTTTTAATATTATTTTAAATTTACGAGTGAATAAAGTTCACTTATTCCAGTTAATTTATTTAACATAAATCAATAATTATATATTTTTATTAATCATTATCTTTATTAAATTTTATTTAAATGTTATTCTTTATTCTGAAATCTTTGCGTATCACCATTTTTATCTCGTTGTTGAGAAAATCTTAGACTTACAAGTATATAGATATCTAGGAAGTAATAACATCTTGTCTTCTTTTTTATTTTATGCTAATTCAACGAAAATATTTGTTCTCTATATCAAGTATAAAATTGATCAATCTATTTATAATTTATATGTGCGATGTAAAGATAAGCATTAATTAAATTATATACATATATTGATTTAATCACACATTTGTTAAAAAAATATGCACGTGATTTTATTGTTTAACTGTTTAGTTGTAATTAACTTTCACGGTATCGAATGCAATATTCATTATCTTTTCGAAATAAAAAGTTGATAATGTCCACAATGTTTCTATACGGAATACAAAAATTTATTAATTATTAATTTTTTTTAATAATATTATTTTAATTATTATCTTTTAATTATTTATATATTACGACAACATGTATTATTTTTTATGTACAATTTTCGATGCACGATGTAATATTTTAATACTTTTTAACGGAATTATAAAAAGACTATACAGATAATAAAGTTAGATCGAATACTTTTGCACATTTCTGTGTTTTAACATACGAGGAACGCGATTCAGGATATTCGCTATTCCATCCAACATCTTGTGAGAGAAATACTTCTGTGTTAATTTATAGTTGCCGCATTGCCTTCGTATTGTGCTGCATCCGTGTTTTGCATTTCCTGAACGGATCATTCGGATCCGTTGTGCATGCTCATCGCCCAACTTCCACATTCATAAGATATTCATAACATACGGATGTCAATATCCTTCTGGTTTAATCGCGCTTATACATATACATATACATATCTGCCTGTATCTCTGAACTATGCATAGAGATGCCAACGCATGTTTGGCCTAGAATTACGGCCGAGTTCTCGTGATTAACCGTGTGTCGCACGGATATAATTAGAACCGTGTCGAACACGTGTCGTGTATGATTTCCATTAATATACAGACTCTGCAGTGAGACACTGGGGCCGATAGTGATCAGTCATTGACACTCGCGGATTAGTCAGATTTCGATACGATAACAGAAATGTAATCCGACGTACTACGAAATCGTTCAAAGTTTAGCTTCTTAAAAACGGATACCTCGAATCGTATCGATTATAGAATATATGGATATGTAATTTTGCAAGACAGAGGCAATAGATATGTACAGAAATCTAAATCTACATTATTTTCTATTTTCTATTTTTAAAACAGAAATATTTATAAAAATGAAAATTTTAAATTAAATGTTTAGTTATTTAATTAAAGAATATATTTTTATAATGATTCTATACGGAAAGAAAAGCTAGACTTTTATATAAAATAATAAGTATGAAAATTTATGTGTTACAAATCAGAATGTTTAAACGTATATGTTTATAATAATAAGCTATCAATCGTTCACATGAGCTATCAACAGCTTACGTCAATAGCTTAATAAAAACGTTATTAAATAGTATTTTTTGCTTTTTCTCAGTTTTTGTTTGCGCATAATATTATAAATAAAATTTTTATTTAACGAAGAAAATGTACTTATTATATAAAATCACTCAAATATTTATACATATAAAGAAATTTTAATTTCACTTATTTTCATTTATTGCTTATTTGCGCTCTTTTTTATCTAATAATTTATATATAGTCGACACTTCTCAAACTGTTTATAGGAAAAAAAGTTTTGCTTATACTTCTTTCTAATTATGTTACAAAAGAAAGAAATTACGAAAGAAATAATCCACGTGTTCATAAACACTGATCGGTCGGTAATTAATCGACATAAAGAAATTAGAATGTACAACTTCATGCGAGCTCTCTTAACGTTTCGCTAATTTATCACCGGTTAATGATCCCGATGGTCGTAAAGATGGTGAGGTACTGGTGGAATAAAGTGTAGAAAGCCATTGCGCGCGTGTTGTACATCAGGACCGA